TTGAATATGATAGAAAAGAATAAGACATGGGAACTTATTGACAGACCTATGGAAAAACCAGTTATTGGAGTTAAATGGGTATTTAAAACTAAGCTAAATTTGGATGGCTCAGTGCAGAAGAATAAAGCAAGACTGGTGGCCAAGGGATACTCACAAAAACCAGGGGTGGACTACAATGAAACGTTTGCACCAGTGGCTAGATTAGACACTATTCGAACCTTGATTGCCCTTGCAGCTGAGAAGGGTTGGCAGCTGTACCAATTGGATGTCAAGTCAGCTTTTCTAAATGGTATTTTAGAGGAAGAAGTGTATGTAGACCAGCCGGAAGGATTTGTGGTAAAAGGAAGTGAAAGCAAGGTTTACAAACTACACAAAGCTCTATATGGCTTGAAACAGGCGCCAAGAGCTTGGTATAGTGAAATTGATGGTTATTTTGCTGAGTGTGGATTTACAAAGAGTCAAAGTGAAGCTACACTTTATGTCAAAGCAAGAGGTGCAGAAAATATCCTGATAGTTTCCATTTATGTAGATGATATAGTCTACGCTGGAAATGATCATGAAATGCTAGAAGATTTCAAGAAGGACATGAAGGAGAAGTATGAAATGACTGATCTGGGACTCTTGCATCACTTCTTGGGAATGGGAGTCATTCAAACACCAACAAGCATATTCATTCATCAGAAGAAATATGCAACAACTCTGTTAAACAGATTTGGTTTGAGTGAGTGTAAACCGGTGTCTATTCCACTAGTTACCTCAGAGAAACTAAGTAAGGATGATGGGAGTGGTTTGGCAAGTGAAGAGCAATATAGAAGGATTGTTGGGAGTCTGTTGTATCTCACAGCTACTAGACCCGACATTATGTTTGCAGCTAGTCTGCTTGCAAGGTTTATGCATTGTCCAACTAGCAAACACCTTGGAACAGCAAAACGTGTCCTTAGATATGTAAAAGGAACCTTGGATTATGGTCTGGAGTATGTGAAAGGAAAAGGGGCAGTTCTAATTGGCTATTGTGACAGCGATTGGAGTGGCTCAGTGGATGATAGCAAGAGCACATCTGGATACGCTTTTTCTTTTGGGAGTGGAGTGTTTGCTTGGGCCTCAGTCAAGCAAAATTGTGTTGCACTCTCTACTGCAGAAGCTGAATACATCAGTGCCTCTGAAGCAACAACACAAGCTATTTGGTTGAGATTTGTCCTAGAAGACTTTGGAGAACTTCAAACAGAAGCTACACCTCTCCACTGTGACAACATTTCAGCCATTGCCATTACAAGGAATCCTGTGTTTCATCAGAAAACAAAACATATCGATCGGAGGTATCATTTTATTAAAGATGCTTTGCAAGAAGGAACTGTGGATCTGATTTATTGTCCCACAAATGAGCAACTAGCAGACATTTTTACTAAGGCATTGGCTAAGGATCGTTTCTGCTATCTCAGAGAGAAACTTGGTGTGAAATCAGCTCACAACTTAAAGGGGAGTGTTGAAATATAAGTGGTGAGCTGATGAGAGTGTGATTAAAGTCCCTAAGCTGAAATGGTGTATTCACTTAGTCTCTAAAATAGGCAAGTGTGAGGCGTCAGTTAGTGTTAAGTGGCTATAGCCACGTGTAAGGATCTTAGAAGGCAGTTTTGGATGTAAGGCTGTGATTCTCAAGTGATGTAAGAGAATCCAGCTATTTCTCTAAACGGTTATATAGCACACACTGTGCTTGCCCGAAAGTTTCAGAGCATTATACAATACAAAAAATACAGAAGTTTTCTTTTAAGCTTGGCTCTCGGTTTTCTCTTGCATGTTGTTTTCTCTTCTTCTTCAAAACCTTTACAAAACTCTAACATTTATTGGACTGGTGTGAGGTGGATTGAGCTCTCCTTTACTCTTTCTGAGTTTGCAGCACCAGGCCCCAAAGCACTCCGAAAAAGTTTAAGACTTAGGCGTTGATTTAGTTATCTTCAGTGGCTTCTTGCAAGTTTTGATGTACAACAGGTACTGGAATGATTGTGCTTGATTTTGTTGTGTTGGAAGTGCTTTTCTTGAAGTGAAATATGTGATCGATGCAGGTAGTGGAATTAATAGCGCTGGAGAATATGGTAGAGGAGGTGGTCTCTGGTGAAGAGTGGGTACGTTGATACTGTACGCTTGGCATGAGAGCTTTCTTCAATGAGCTTGCTTCAATGAATCAATATGAAGCTTGGCTTGAAAGGCTTATGGTGTGGGAGCAAGTCTCCATAAGTTTAGTAAGAAAGAGTGCTTTTGCCGCTTGGATTGGAATAAGATGTTGGAGGTGAGATGCATGTAGTGTTTTGGGGAGTTAGGATGGTTTGGGATGGTTTTCCATGTGATGTTCAGGACTTGGAGTGGTGTTATGAAAGAAGAGAAGCATGATGGAGGAAGGCCTGGGCTTTGTGTGTTTACGGCAGTGGGAGGATGAGCTTGCCTCCTGCCATTCTTCTTCTGGTTTCGGTGTGTGTATTGCAAGGAGGGATGAAGGTCTATTTATGGGCTGAAGAATGATTGTGTAAGGAAGGATCCATGAGTATACAGTGTTCAACAATTGGTTTCTCCATGAGAGTGCGGTAATTACTGTGTGCATAGTAATGAAAGTGGGTTTGAGTTTTGAAAGAGGCTGGGAGTTCCCTCTCCGCTTACTCGTGTAATTAGGCTCAAGAAAGTGGGTATGAATTTTGGTACTCCCAATTAGCCCTAAAACTTCCACTATCTGGTCCTTCAACGAGCTTAATGAACACTTGTAATCATGCACACTACAATCCGCTCAGCAAGCCCCAAACATATATGTGGGGCTTGGGTCCACTTAAGCTTGTCGGGTGGTTTAGCATAGGAAAATGTATTATTTGCTTGGCATGACATGTACACTATTTCTATATTTATTTAATGAATTAATTTCCAAAATACTGCTTGGATTAACGCATGACCAACATTATATGTTATATTGGACTTTAAATATCCTTGAGCTTCTCGTGACATTTTGGGCCTTAACAGTAATCTATATAGAATTCTTGTTGGACATAGACTCTTATCTCCTTTTTAGCTTTTACTTATTATTTATTTAATAAACGTGTTTGTGTTATAAATCCATACGTTATGGGTTTATAGGTTATGGATGCCTACAATACTAGCCACTATAAACTTATCATAATACTCATCATTATATATTTGTCACCTACCAATTATTGGTGGTAAATGATTTAGGCCTCTCTACCCCTATAAATAGTGGCACCAAATACGAATGGAATACAAGTTGATTTGAGCAAATTATCCTGTCTCGTTCTTTCTCTTATTTCTCCTTACAAATTTCTAGTTTCACAACACGTTATCAGCACGAAAGCTCTTAGTAATGTTCTTCTCTATAGCTTACGGTCATCCATATATATTATTTCTTTTATCTACGAAACTCGATGACGGCTGATTTTTTTTGAAATCATGTTTTCGACATGATTTAAATTGTAGAGAGTATCACCTAAATTAAAGTATGTATGCTTACGACATGATTTAAATTGTAGAGAGTATCACCTAAATTAAAGTATGTATGCTTATGGGTCCACCAATGAATGCATGAACATGTAGTTTTTTTTTTTTTTTTGGTTATATGACCACTATTAATTGAAAACTTGTTTGCACCCATGCTGTAGCTAATTAAATCACGAGTAGTATGCAATTTTTTATTTTTATTTTTCTTTCTTTTCCCCTTTGAAGTTTTTATTTTATTTTATTTAAACACTATTATGATGAGTTTTTTTATTAACAAGTTTTTATTATCAGGGCATGAAGTTCTTCGATCCTCATAATAGATAAGGATCTGCAGTTCTTTTATCTAATCAGAACCTAAGTTTATGTGATTCAAAATAATTGAAGGCAAGTTCCTCAATTCTAATTGTCTAAACATCCCAAACCAAAAGTTTTGGTGATTATATTTATGTTAACTATATCAACAATTTTTCTTGATCTGTAACACATTCCATTTTCTTTTATATAGAAAATGTCAAACTTGGCAGAGCTCGAATTTGTTGCACTTGACATCTCTAGAAAGAACTACCTTTCATGGATCAATGATGCTGAGGTTCATCTTGAGGCTATGAACCTAGGGGAAACCATTAAGGAAGGCAATGAGTCATCCTCTATGGATCGAGCGAAGGCCATGATTTTTCTCAGACGCCACATCCATGAAGGATTGAAGTGTGAATACCTTACAGTCAAGGATCCGTTGGCCCTTTGGGGAAATCTCAAGGAAAGATATGACCATTAGAGGACGGTTATTCTTCCTAAGGCTTGCCATGACTAGATGCACTTGTGTCTACAAGATTTCTAATCAGTGGCTGACTATAATTCTGCTCTGTTCAAAATTAGCTCCAAGTTACTACTTTGTGGAGAAAATATAACTGATGCAGAACTATTGGAGAAAACTTTCACCACATTTCATTTCTCCAATGTGGTTTTGCAACAACAATATCGAGAGCGAGGTTTCCACAAGTATTCAGACCTCATATCTTATCTACTTCTAGCTGAACAGAATAACGAGCTTCTGATGTAGAACCATCAGAAGCTGCAACTCAAAGTGAAAATGAAGTACAAAAGATTGTCCACCTTCAGCAAATTGTTAATCAAATGCCAGATGCATTCACTGATACAGGAAAAGTGAGAAAATCACATATACCTGTAGCAAATACACCAGTAAGGATTGATATCCCAATCGGATTAGCCAATGTTGCAGCAAATGAATCATCTACTGCACGCTTGAAGTGAGGTAAACCCATTGGTTCGAAGGACTCAGCTCTTAGAAAGCGAAAATTGAAAGCATATTCCAATCCCAATGAAACGCTCATGAAGATATTATTGGGAAAGAGATTCACCTTGAACCTACAATTCATCTAGAGAATGAAAGTGTCATTGAAAAGACACAAGCCACTGAAAAGGAAAAGATACCTATTACAGAAATTTCTGTAAATTTCGGATGCAATGATGAATTGTGGGACCGTAGTGAAATGGTTATCGATGATATTTTTTCTTTCGCAGTAGCTGCTGAAATTATAAAAGGTCATGAAGATATTGAACCACGATTTGTTGATGAATGCAAAGAGAGGCATGATTGGCCAAAATGGAAAGATGCAATCCAAGTTGAGTTAAATTCCTTGGAAAAACGTGGTATATTTGGACCTGTGGTTCAAACACCACAAGGTGTAAAACCTATGGGATATAAATGGATGTTCACAAGAAAGCGTAATGAGAAAAATGAGATTGCAAGGTATAAGGCACGACTCATTGCGCAAGGCTTTTCTCAAAGGCCTGGGATTGATTATGAAGAAACATATTCTCCTGTTATGGATGCAATTACGTTCCGTTATTTAATAAGTCTTCCAGTTTCAGAAAAACTTGACATGCATCCTATGGACGTTGTTACTGCATACACAAGTTAGATGCTAATATTTGTATGAAAGTCCCTGAAGGACTCAAGTTGGCAGAATCAAACACTAAATCACAGAACATGTACTCCATTAAGTTGAGGCGTTCACTATATGGGTTGAAACAATCCGAATGAATGCAGTATAACCGTCTTAGTGAATATTTGATTAAGGAATGCTACATTAATGATCCCACATGCCCTTATGTTTTTATAAAGAAATCAAATTCTGGATTTGCAATCGTAGCAGTTTATGTCGTTGACATAAACTTAATTGGAACTCCTGAAGGGATCATTAAAACTGATGAATATTTCAAGTGTGAATTTGAGATGAAAGACCTTGGAAAAACTAAATATTGTCTGGGCTTGTAAATCGAGCAATATCCCAGTGGGATTCTTGTCCATCAATCAGCTTATACTGAAAAAAATTTGAAGCGATTTTATATGAATAATGCCCACTTGTTGAGCACTCCAATGGTAGTTTGTCCATTAGACACAAATAAAGATCCATTCCATCATAAAGAGGATGATGAAATGATACTTGGTGCAGAAGTACCATATCTTAGTGCGATAGGTGCTTTATTATATTTAACCCAATGTACTAGGGCAGATATTGCATTTCTAGTAAATTTATTAGCCAGGTATAGCTCGGATCCAACACGTAGACACTGGAATGGTATAAAGCATATCTTGCACTACCTTCTCAAGGTTCTCGGCTCTTTACCAAACTTGGGGCATTTATCATCAACAAGTTTCTAGGAAAGAGAATCTGCTGGATGAGACATATGACCGTCAACTGATTTTCTATCAGCATGCCAAGTCAAACTCTTAGTTGTCTTACGTGATTGAAACATCCTTTTAAACATTGGAATTGGCGGAAAATATCACACCACATTCGCTGGCACACCCTCTTTCAAGATTGAATATTTGCATTCCTTCTACCTTGAGATACCACAAGTAGGACAATTAGTTGAATCTTCATAATCCTTCCTATACAATATGCAGTCATTGGGGCATGCGTGAATTTTTTTTCAACGATCCGAACATCTATTTTTTCAGTCTACATTCATAGATCATCCTTGTAAAAAATTAGACAAATTAGAAACCATTTCAATATCTAATTATGTCCTACAAAATCGATGAAAATGATGCCTTAAGAAAGTACTAAAATTTCCGAGCCGAGATGATTAGAGCCAGGGCTAGTTTCTCAATCTCCTGGTACCCGGGTCTTTATATCGATCAAGGACATCCTGGTCTCTTTTGGCCACATGGTGCTCTCTAATAGGTTCGGCTTATAGTGATGATATGAACCATTATAAACATATCCTATATTATTTGACTTGGAATCAGAGTCGATTTTTTGATGACCTGTGTGTTATGCTCACCCGTGTTCTAGCCTAGAAGATTCGTTACAATAAATAACCGATCAGGGAAATGTTAGATCGCATTAATTAGCAACATATTATGCATGAGCCCAAGGAAATAAGCAGCTTGCCTAAACTACAGCGCATGCATGAGCCCAACGAAAGTAGTAGCTTGCCTAACCTGCAGCGCATGCATGAGCCCAAGGAATACGTAGTAGCTTGCCTAACCTGCAGCGCATGCGTGAGCCCAAGGAAAGTAGTGTAGCTTGCCTAACCTGCAGCTCACCAATAATAATCAATCTCTATGTTGTTTTTATGCATGTTTCTTCATCCAAGTTAAGCGGTCATATATACTTTGATCTCTTTTAGATGCCTGTATATATAAACCAAACTGGTTTCTCTCATACAGTATGCAGCCAAACACAACTTGTAGATAGGTATGTAACCAGTTTAATAGTCTTCATACAACGGAATGGAACGTTATTAAATGTTATTGAAATACAATTTTTAGAGAATTGGCTCGAGATAGCGCCACAATAATATTCTCCATACAAGTAAGTTTTTTCTAAGCCTATCATGCATTAAACGTTAAGGCTGATCAATTTTTTCCACACTTGCAGAGGTAAAAAGATCTGACATTTTTACACAACTACAAATCATGGCTCTAGAAGCTGGTTCAG